TAATACTCGACTAGACGTAAGAGTGACCTTTCGCCGGAGTGACCTTTGGTGCGGGCACAGATGGGCCCTCAAATGGCTAAAAACGAAGCGGTAACAGCGGCTTGCGCGCCCAGGTTTGGTCTCCCCGCGGCCCCCAACAAGCCGCGCACCAGAGGTCACTCTTACCCAGGTCATTCTTGCGTGTAGCCGAAATATGTACATACATGGTGTAAAGAAGCACTCCTCGCGGCCATGCTTGGTTCACACATCCTCTTGTGTGCTCTGGTTTGCCCTCGGCGAGATCTGCAGAGGGCCCTGCAGCCGGTCCACCTCTCAGGCCATGCCCAGACCCCCGGCGCCGTGCTTTTGAGTGGGAACGGGAGCCCAGACATGCGACGTCCTGATTTTTTCAGGACGGCGTCCCCGCAAGTCCCGACCCTTCCCCGGGACCGGTTGTTCGTCCTGAGTCGTTTTTTGACGGTCCCGAGGCCCGGCGAGGACCTCTAGAGGGCGAAAATACAAAAAAACCGCCCGTCCTGATTTTTTTACGACGCCATCATGTCTGGGAGGTTTTGGTCCGACCAGGACTGCGATGTCCAAAAGTCGGGGCGGGAGGCTTCCTGTCGGACCACAGGCCCCCGTCGTTAAGAAACATCAGGGCGGGAGGCTCTTCGCTGCTTTCGGCCCCCGTTGGGCCCTCGCTCCAAGGGCATTTAAAAAAAGACACCCCTACCCTGATTTACGAGGCGCTGCGCGCTGACACTCTTGTGGGCTGACGGGGTTAAACCCTGCGTGATGTGCGGCGTCCTGGCGTCCTCTAGGCCCTGGCGGTTCCCAGGAGGTTTCCAGACCCCGCACTCGTGACCCAGGCTATAGGGTCGTCTTTTCATCCGTCCATCGCGGGGCCCGGCGGGACCGTCGACAAAACCGCTCGGCCCAGGCTGGAAGGCGAGTCCTGGGGAAAAAAGGGCCAGGGCCTCCGGAGGGGCGCCGTGCCGGCACAGCCATGGGCGCCGCACGTCGGGGAAGGGCCCTCCTGGATGGCAGGGGCGCGTCGGTCAGTGCCGCGCTTCGCGCCCCACGGAGCGCCGATGCGGCGGACAGGATGACAGCATCCTAGAATTCTGTCGGGCGTGCCCCCCCCCCTACAGGGAAATGTTCGACGAAAAAAAGAAGATCCGCCGACCCTGTCGGCGTGTGTGAGGGGCTTCTCCGTTCGACTCGTCGTCTCCGTCGTCTCCGTTCTCCCCCTCCCAGGGCTCTCCTCCTCGAGCGCGCTATCCAAAGCGAAATTAAGCGACGTCGTAGTGGAGTCGAAGGGAAGCCCCTTCCCTTTGATCCCTTCCCCGCAGGGGGGGGGGGAGGGGGGGGGGCCCGGGGCAGATACGACGCCCGCCGAGGCGCTCTTTCCTCGAGCGGGCACGCACGGGATGCACTTCCTCCTCCTCCTGGTCCTCCTCTCCTCCTCCATCCTCCCTCCTCCTCCTCCTCCTCCTCCTCCTCTCTCCTCCTCCTCCTCCTCCTCCTCCTCCTCCTCCTCCTCCTCCTCCTCCTCCTCCTCCTCCTCCTCCTCCTCCTCTCTCCTCCTCCTCCTCCTCCTCCTCCTCCCGCAGAGGCGTCCCGGGAGCGGGCCCCGAGTCAAAATACCACCCCCTAGGGCGCATTTTCCTCGAGCGGGCACGCCCGAGATGCACTTCTTCCTCTTCCGGGAGCACGTCCCAAGTCAGAATATCACACTCCCGGGGCGCACTTTCTTCGAGCGGGCACACAAAGGATGCGCTTCCTCCTCCTCCTCCTCCTCCTCCTCCTCCTCCTCCTCCTCTTCCTCCTCCTCCTCCTCCTCCTCCTCCTCCTCCTGCTCCTCCTCCTTCTCCTCCTCCTCCTCCTCCTCATCCTCCGCTTCCTCCCCCCACTCCTAGCCCTTTCGATCAGGGTCGGCGGCACCGGCCGTCAGGCCTCTCCAATATCCCCAACATGCCCCAAAAGGATCAAAGACTATTCAAAAAATAATCCCCAGACCATTTTTGGATTGTTTGTTGATTATTTTCAGGGTATTTTCAATTTTTCGTCGACAATCCCCCTGTAGGGGGACAAGCGCGACCTAATCCTAGGAGCTCACGGCCAGAGCACGAATCTCTGGGCCGTGCCTGTCTGCGCAATTTGCCGAGCCGGATCGATCTGTGCTGCGAGAGCCCCGGGGCCCGCAAGTGTCAGCCACGCGCAGAGGGGGGGCAGGGGGCGGCGGGCAGGCTTCTGAGAGGCGCCCGTGCTTTTCAGGAGGTGCGGGCCTGGTGAGGCCCGCGCCTTCTAAGAAGCAGCCCCCCTCGAAGAAGCCTCCCCCCCTCCCCCTTCCCCCCCCTCCCCCCCTCCCCCCTCCCTCCTCCCTCCTCCCTCCTCCCCCTCCCCTCCCTCCTCCCTCCTCCTCCTCTCCTCCTCCCTCCTCCCTCCTCCTCCTCCTCCTCCTCCTCCTCCTCCTCCTCCTCCTCCTCCTCCCTCCCTCCTCCTCCTCCTGCTCCTCCTCCTCCTCCTCCTCCCTCCTCCTCCCTCCTCCTCCTCCTCCTCCTCCTCCTTCCTCCTCCTCCTCCTCCCTCCTCCCCTCCTCCTCCTCCTCCTCCCTCCCTCCTCCCTCCCTCCTCCCTCCCTCCCTGTGCGCGCCGCCACAAAGTTGGGCGAGCAGCGCCCGCTGCGGAGAAGCTGCGGCGTCCCCGAGCGGAGGTTCCCAGCCAGGGCGCGGAGGGGGCACGGGCGCCCCGCCCCCCCAGCCGGGGCACGGGCCACGACGTGCGACGCCCTGATTCCCAGACCCCCTCGAGTTATGAAAAAATCACGACGGGAGGTTTTCATCATTTTCGGCCTCCGGGGGCCCTCACCGGGCCTCGGGAGCGTCAAAAGACGACTCAGGGTGCAAAGCCGGTCATGGGGAAAGGGTCGGGGCCTCTGGGGGTCGACGTAATGAACAATTCATTACGTCGGGGGTCTGGGCACGGGCCCCGACATGCGACGCCCTGATTCGGAGGTGGATATAGACCTCCTTCCCTGACACGTCGATTACTCCAGATTTCGTGATAAAAGGGAGGGGGTTTGGACCCTCCAAGACAAGCCATTTCAGACCCCCCCCCCCGTGGGAGAACCCTCCAAAACATCGTCCCCAGACCCCCCCAGGCCCTCCAAGATAGCCTGGAAGAGACCCCCCCCCGAAATGAGATCCCCCTCCCTTTATTACGAAATCTGGAGTAGCGAATTGGCCGTTTTCGGCTTTCGAGGGGGCGTCGCGGCCGTGCCTTTTGCGGGTCCCGGTCCGTCGGTGTCGGTCCCGGGCCGTTTTCACTGGAGGTTTCCTGAAGGGAGGTTTTTTTCCACCGCCGATTGATTTTTTCGATACGCGGCCCCCAGAAGTCCCAAGCCCAGACACGATCGCGTCTTATCAAAAATCAGGACGGCAATGCTTCCACGATTTTCGGCCCCTGGGGGCCCTCGCCGGGCCCAGGGACCGTCCACACCAACGACTCGGGAGGAAAAACCGGCCCCAGGGACAGGGTCTGGACTTCCGGGGACGCCGTATTGAAAAAATCAGGGCGTCGCATGTCTGGGACCCTTTCCCTGGTCCTGTGTGTCATTGCTTCTCGACGGCCCCGAGGCCCGGCGAGGGCCTCCGGGGTCGAAGACGACCAAAAAGCCTCCGTCCTGATGGTGGTCAGGGTGTCGCCCGCCTGGGAGGGCGATGCGCCCCCCGCCCCCTTTTTGTCGGCGTCGAGCCCGGGGGGCGAAGTGAGACGGGGCGGGCCTCCTCAGGAGGTTTAGAAGGCCTCCCGCGCTCTAAGAAATGTCCCAAGCCTTCCCGGAAGACGCAGCACACTTCTCTGAAGGCGCGAGGGCGTCTGAGAAGCCCCGCCGCCTTTGAGAAGGCCTGCCTGCACTTTCTCACTTCCCTCGTGGAAGCATAAGACTCGAGTTTGCCGGAACTCGGGTCAACCGACGCTTCTTGACGAGCCCGTCCCGGGTTTCGACGGTGAAGTGTTCGTAGGATGCTTGCAGTGGGAGTTCGCTTCAAAATTTCAGGTTTTGAGTGTTTTTTATTTTCCCCCTCCAGGGTAACAGTCATTACCTGGGGGGGGTCTGGCGGGAGGTTAACTAACGGTACCGGTGGCCGCGGCGTGCACCCGCCAGGGTGTGTCTCCGCCACCAGCGCATCAATCGCCCATGTGCACCACAGTCCTTGCGTACACGACAATGCCCCACGCTTGCGTGCAACGCAACGCCGCCTGTGCACACCGCAATGCCTCGGCACTGCCTGTGTAAACTGCAGCTGACGTTTGCGCAACAGCGCCTGCGTACACCTCTTTGCCTGCGTGCACCAGAGCGCTTGTGTACACCACAGCGCCTGTGTACACCACAGCAACCATGTTTACCGCAGCGCCTACGCACGCCACAATGCCTCCATGGACCAAAACGCCCGTGTACACCAGAGCGCCAAACGTGCCAAGGAGCACCCTAGTAGCTTGCGAGGCCTCCTTTCGGGGCTCGCCGTAGACCACAGAGACCTTCAGAACTCGTCACTTATCTCCTCTTCCTTCCCAGGAGCCTCCCGATGGGGTCGAAAGCTCCAGACGCCGTGAAATTCCGAAAGCAGCGCTTGCATTCAGGCGCTCGTGCTCCGCGCGCAACGCTTGCACTGGTGCCGACAATGTTAGCACCGCGCAGGTTGCACAGCGTGCCCGGCGCGCCGAGTAAAGCGAAGAACTGTTTGGGGCCACGTGCGCCAACATGCTCTTGCTCGACATCGGTTCCCCGACCCGCCGCCCTCCGAGCAGGGCACCTTGGCAGTGAGCCCGCCTGGCTCACGCGCACCCATTGGCCTGCAAGCGCCACGGCACGCACCACGCGCACGTGAGCACCGAACAGTGCCCTTCGGCCCCGCGCCCCGCCTGCGAGCCCGGCGTCGCCACGGGGTGGGGAGAGCCCGCGAGCGCCGCAGCCCGTTGCTGAGAGCACCGAAGCATGCCTTTCAGCACCACGCCATGCTTGTGAGCAGTCCGCCCTCGAGGAGGAGGAGGAGGAGGAGGAGGAGGAGGAGGAGGGAGGAGGAGGAGGGAGGAGGAGGGGGAGGGAGGAGGAGGAGGGGGGGAGGAGGAGGAGGAGGAGGATGTAGGGGTGGTCCAGGCCTCCCCGCCCAGTGCGATCGTCAGCGTTGCCCCGGGGGGCGGGGCCCGGGCAACGGGCGTCACGCCGGGGAGAAAAAAAAAACGCCCACATTGGGGCTCGTCATTTGCCTGACGGCCCCGTCAGGGCCACTCCGAGCTCTCCGAGCCCGAGTCCCACTAAGTTGTGCCTCCTCCTCCTCCTCCTCCTCCTCCTCCTCCTCCTCCTCCTCCTCCTCCACTCCCCCCCTTCCTTCCTCCTCCTCCTCCCTCCTCCCTCCTCCTCCTCCCTCCTCCCTCCTCCTCCTTACCCCGAGCCCGAGTCCCACTAAGTTGTGCCTCCCCGATTCCCCCCCTTGGCGCGCCGCCGACCGCGGGCTGCCTAGGACAGGACGCTGCTGGTCGGCGAGGCCAACTTCAGCTTCGCGGCCGCGCTCTGCCGAGCGCTCGGCGACGGCGCCGGCCTGACGGTGCGGCCTGGGCGTCGGGGCGGCCTGCCTCTGCTGCCTCTGGCCCTGCAGGAGGAGGCTTCGAGGCTTCGAGCTTCGAGGTCTTCGAGGTCTTCGAGGTCTTCGGGAGTTTTCGGCGGGCCTCGGCGATTTTCCGGCCTCGGGGTGCCTTTCCGCAGCTGCGCCTCGCCAGGGGCGTTCCGGGGGTGCCCGGAGCGCCCCGAACGGCCGCCAGAGATTCGAGGTTGGCATGCTGGCCAGTGCCGCCGATCCGGGGCGCTCCCGATGGTGCTCGGGTTCGCTTGGAGGCCCCATGGGGCCGTCGAGGGGCCTTCGTAGGAGGAGGCCTCTTGAGGGGGTCTTCGAGCCTCTTGGAGGCTTCTTGGAAGCCTTTTTGGCTGTCTTAGGGCGTTCCTGGGCCGCCACCGGAGAGTCGAGGTATGCCTCGAAAACAAGACATGCAACATATTAAGATTAATCAGGACGGAGGTTGTTCGTCGCCCACAAGACGACCCAGGATGAAAACTCTGCCTTGGGGAATATGGGTCGAGACTTCAGGGACGGCACATGGAAAAACACACAACACACACACAACATCGCATGTCTGGGGAGGAGGGGAGGAGGGAGGGGGATGAGGAGGGGGAGGAAGCGGAGGCAGAGGAGGAGGAGGAGGAGGAGGAAGAGGAGGAGGAGGAAGAGTAGGAGGAGGAAAGGGAGGACCCATACCTCCAATATCTCGAATACCTCGGTTTGCGGCCTCTGGGGGCCCTCACCGGCTCACCGGGCCCTGGGACCGTCAAACATCGACTCCGGATGAAGAGCTGGCCCTGGGAGAAGGTCCAGACCTTTGGGGACCCCGCATTGCGAAACTCAAGACATCGGATGTCTGCGGAGGAGGGGGAGGAGAAGGAAAGGGAGGAGGCAGGAGGAGGAGGAAGAAGAGGAAGAGGAGGAGGAGGAGGAGAAGGAGGAGGAAAGTGAGGAGGCAGGACGAGGAAGGAGGAGTAAAGGGAGGAGGAAGATTAATAACGGGAGGACGAGGAGGGTCGAGGTTCGAGGATCGAGGCTCGAGGTTCGAGGACAGAGTTGTTGAGCGTTTGTGGGGGCCTTGTCAGACCCTCCGGGGCCGTCTCCTCGCCACGGCTAAGAAGTCCTTTCAAATTCGAGGCAACACGTATCCCTTGAGTGGTCCAGGGGCAGTCTTCTCAGGGAGAGCTGGAGGTTGAGGAGGAGGAGGAGGAGGAGGAGGAGGAGTAGGATGATGATGAGGAGGAGGAGGAGAAAGAGGAGGAGGAGGAGGAGGAGGAGGAGGAGGAGGAGGAGGAGAAAAAGAAGGGAGAGAGGAGTTGGAGGAGGAGGAGAAGGAGGAGGAGGAGGAAGAAGAAGAGGGAGAGAACGAGTTGTGGGAGGGGGGGGGAAGAGGAGGAGGAGGCGGAGGGAGGAGGAGGAAGGAGCGGGAGGATGCAGATCTTCTGTTGAAAAAGCGCCGCCGGTTGTTCCTACAGAACTTCGGCCCCTGCGCGAACTGGTGTCGGGACGGCCGCCAGCCGCGCCTCCGGTGGACACCGAAAGAGGGGCCGCCAGGTTGAGGCAAGGACTGGAGGAGGAGAGGGAGGAGGAGGAAGAGCATGACGAGGGTGATGTGGGAGTGAGGAGGGAGGAGGAGGAAACCAAAAAGGTAGATGGGAGGATGAGGTAGAGAAGGAGCGACGAGGTGGGTTCGGACTCGAAGGAGGTGGGAAGAGCATGACGAGGATGATGATGCTGATGTTGACGATGACGATGCTTATGATGATGCTGATGATGCTGATGCTGATGCTGATGCTGATTATGATGCTGATGCCGATGCTGATGCTGACGACGACGACGGTGACGATGACGATGGCGATAGTGATAATGCTCATGCTGATGCTGATGATGATGCTGATGCTGCT